TCAATGAAGCTGCAAAGATTCATTGCCACAGACTCACATTTATTAATTTTATCTTTGCTCAGTGGAGTCATACTTCATTTCTAGCAATAAAGGATGTCCCCTGTTTCTAAAAAATGAGTTGATCACCTGAAACAAAGATCTCTATGTATCTATGTCTAATCTTCCTCTCTACATTTTCAGTTCTGAACTTTCAGTGTAGGTCTCAAGTAAATGCAGAAAGGACCAGATTTTGATTAAAAGCGTAGTCCTCAGTTTGAGAAGGGGTTTTTCTTTGTAGCAGAGTGGAATTCATTGTCAGGAGCCATGGTGTGGTGTGGCAGAGAAGTCAGCCATGTGTGACATATCCATGGCAGTTCTAGAGCTGTCTGTGGAGATCTTTAAGCTGTCCTCAATCTCTTGCTGCTTGAAATACCTTGCTCCCTGTGGTCTGAACGTGCTCCCACTCTGAAAATTGCATTTACACACCTGGAATGGGAAAATGAATATTTTACCAGATCATTTTCATATGGTCACTGCATTTGAGAAGTGCAGTCAGAAGTTTTGCAGTGCAGCTTGAGAAGGAGGCCCTTGAGCTTTGTGGCCCAGAAGCCACTTTGGTAAATTTGTACCTTCCTCAAAGTCTTGCATTCCTTACCAAGCTGAATAATCCCAGTAACTTGAAAGTTTGATGCTGGAAGGTCATTGCAATAACACAGGGTTACTGGGGGACACTTTTCAGAGAGGAAAAGGAGATAACAAAAAATGTATTGTGCCATTTGAAACCCTCCAGCCTCATATTTAGAAGCAAAAGAGCCAACACTGGGACTGTGACTCGGTGTGATACTTCCACAGTGATGAGGTAAAATTCCTGAAAGCCAAAAGGCACTGAGGTACAGAGGACATTGGTGTCACCACATTGATAGATGCTGTGCATTGCCTGCCCTAAGCCTTGTGACAGAGCAGAACAGAGGGTGACTCTGTGCCTGGAGAGCAGGAGCTCTTCACATTGACAGATAGAGAACATGAGTGATAAAACTGTCACAGTGGTGGGAGGCTGAATACAGTGGCTTTTCTTGCTCTGAAGAAGGGAAATGAGGAGAGAACTTGTGGGGTTTTGTTTCCTTTTTGTTTTTTTCCCGTCCTCTCACTAATCATCCTGGCTCTTAAAATACACAGGAATTCTTGATTTTGCGTGGATTGAGTATCTGGTGAGAAGTCAGGTGGTTCTGGAGCTCCTTACACCCTCTCCAAACACTTACAGTGACTGCCTGAGTCTGCATAGAGCTGAGTTTTGATGCTGCTGCATAATCACAGCTCATCCTTGCTACTCACTGTCAGTGGGGCAGACTGAAAGCTGTGCTCTGGCTAATTCCATCAGCTGTGGCTTGGAGTGGGTTGTAGATTAAAAAAGCAGCTGTGTAACAGTGGTGTGAGGGCTGACATACAGAGGTTTCCATTGCCATTTATGAGCAGAGCTCGTTCCTTTCCCAGAAGAACTGTAGGTGACCTTTTAATGAGTCCTCTTTGAAGGGTCTTACTGAGCTCTGGGTGTGTGGACAGGTTTATTTGTCTGTTCTGTTCTCTTCCAGAACCTTGCACATGCACCCAAACCAACAAGTGAATAGCAGCACACAGGAACGAGCCCATTTTGAAGCTGACAAAGTTTTCCTGCCTTCCAAAAACCAAATCCCAGCTTTCTTGGGATGCTGAGGAATTTCTAAGGCAGATGTCTGCTGCCTGGCAAGGTCTGATTTGTGTCATGTGCACCATGGCACCAGCACAGAAGCAGCAGTGTCAGCAGCTGCAGGATTTCTGTCAATCTTTCATTTAATTGAATTTGCTTCTTGCATAAAGAACAACATTTTCACATCAAATGAGTCTAATGACAGAGTCAGGATTTCACTGGATCCAGTCAGAGGGAAGCTTTGATGAAGTGGTTAATTGTACCCAGGGATAGCTGCAAAAGTGGTTTTTCATCAGAGGTTACAGTAGAACTGGGATTATTAAATAATGGTACTGATTTGTGGACTGAGGAACAATAAATTATTTTCTTCATTCAGACTTAATCCTCAACATTCATCCCCTCTATATTCATTTTTGCTGTGGGTTTTATTATTATTATTATATCTGTGGAACACAGCAGGATTGTACGATACGTACTGCTTCTGATTTTCTAAAGTTTGAACTGAAAAGATGGAAATCAGTTTAGATTGAAGATTTTCTAGCTCTTTTCACTTAAATGAAGAAATCATTCTCCTCATCCTGAAAAAATATTTGGTTTAATTCAGGGCTGTTGTTTCAGGTGTTAACCACTATAAAGAACAGAATTGAAATGAAATCCAGCTTAGTGTTTGACTCTGTAATATTTGAATCATTTGAAAAATCTTCAAGAGTTTGTGCTGGAAAACACAGGGCAGCATTTAAGAACGTGAAACATTTACTAAATTTAAAAGTAGTTACTTTTCTTTGAAACTGTCATTCTTTTTTTGTAATTTATTAAGTGATGCATTCCTCAAAAAATTCAGGAAACTCCAGTGCCTAAAGCCTCCAACCAGGATTTTGATTCCAGCGTGCTGAACAAACAGTGTGAAAAAATAGAAAGGGCAGACAGTAGGTGAGAAATGAAGACTTTTGGCCAGGCTATGTTATTTTTCTCCTGCAGAGAGGCAGCAGAAGCAGGAAAAAAAACCAATTTTACAACATTCTGGACCAGTGTCCTGCTGACTGTTCAGTCCTGCCTGTGTGGGAGTGGCCACTGGGCACCTTCAGATGCTGTCCTGTGAGAAGGTCTCAAAGCCACCCCTGAGAGGCTCAGTCTGAATAGCAAAAAGGCATTTTATGTGTTCAACTGCACTGTCAGGAAGGAGAAAGGAGGGTTTATAGCACCCTTTATCCCTCACTCTTGAAAGTTCAAGAAAAAAAAGGGTTTTCCCCTCAAAGCCCAGTAGGTTGTTGGTGGTCATGATACATGACTGATGCTAAAAAAAATTTCTCACCTGATTTTTGGGCTTAGAGGTGCATGGGACAAAGATCTGTTGGTATTGACAAGGGTTAATTTGTTGCAATTGAGATTTCTTCAGAAAGGCTGCAGTTTCAGGAACATTCACTTGGGAAGGAGATCAAGGCTCCAGAGAAAGAAGCAGAGAGATGCATTCACTTGCCTCAGAATATCACAGTGTCTAGAGAGTTAGTACACTTGTTATCCTCGTGGGTTTCAACATATTTCAAATAAAAATACTTATCCCAAAACCGCAGTGGCACTCCTCCCCTCTCTGCCATTGCAATCTGAAAATGCTAAAAAATCTCCAGATTCCCAGATGGCAAAGTAACATCCTGGCTAGTTCTCTCCTCAGTGCATGTTGTTAATTTATTTGTTGTTCTAACCCAGTTATTTTTTCTTTTTCCTCTCTTTGAATGCCACAATTCTTTTGGTCCTTCAGAAGTAAAGAATAAAGCCCTTCAGTCTTAAATATGAATAAAAGGAAAATCCAGACCTTTGCAGGATGGGAGACAAATGTTATAGGAAGTCCTGTACCACTGCTTTGAGCTCAGTGTAAGCACCTTGTCTGATCTAAAGCCGTGAACAGACTGTAAATATTTCGTTTTGGGATCCATTTCTTCCTGTCAAATCTTTGCTGTCCTTGCCTCCTGTTTCTACATTCCTCTCTGCCACTTCCATATCTACTGATCTTGGTCTACTCCCTTACAAGTCAGTTTTCTGTCTGCTTCCCAAAAATCCTTCTAAACCTGTGATCATAAATGATCCTCCTTAGCAGCACTTTTCTGTAGGGATGTCCTCATAGCCTGGTGTAGCAGGTCAGGAAGGCTGCTCAGGTCTGAGCTGTTCTCCAGCATGGCCCAGAGTGCAGACCTTCACCCAGTTCCCACTCTGCTGGGCTTTGATTTCCCACAGATAAACAACTTTTGGGCAGCTCCTTTCCAAACTTCTTCTCCTTCACCAGACCCTTCTCATCCTGTCCCACACCGACCTCAGTTTGTCAAGCCCTTTGTTCTTCCTTCTCTCCCCTCGCCAGGGTTTTCTTGTTTAGAGGCTCCCCCTCTTGCTCCTGGTCAGTCTGGGTGCTCATTCTTTCTGAAAACCTTGCTCTCTCCTGCCACTGGAAAATGAGAGAGGAATTTCTTTTCTTCCTTGTCCCTTGAATGATCCATCCTTTGCTTCAGAGCTCTCTGTGCCTTGCCCTGCTCTACATCCACCCCATCCCATCTGTGTGTGGCTGAAAGATGTGTTCCCTCGCTGCCTTCTCCCAGGCTGGGTTCCCAGCCCTTCCCTGCTCTCCCCACTCTGCCTCTTCTGTGGGTCATGATTCCAGATTTCTTTATTCCAGACCAGGCTGGACAGGGCTTGAAGCAACCTGGTCTCTTGGGAGGTGTCCCTGCCCATGGCAGGGTACTGGAATGAGATGACCTTAAACGTCTCTTCCAACCCAGACTATTCTATGATTACTTCAGATTCCTTTATTCCAACGCTTCTGTTCTATCAGATCATCTCCTTCATCCCTGCTCCCTGCTTTTATTATTTCTCCTCTTTCTCAAGGCCTGCACAGCGTCCAGCACCGCAGCTCCTGGACCGGGTCCCTCCTTCCCCACCCAGCATCCCTGCTCATCCTCAGTTCCACGCAGCAAAGGCAGGAATTGCTTTGCTCCACTGAAAAAAAAAAAAAACAAAAAAAAAAAAACCAAACCGAGGAGTTCTACTCCTCTGATGGCTTTTCCTGTTCTCCCTGGCTTTAATTTGCAGCGAGTATTTTTGCAAAAGTGCTCATCCCTGGAGCTAACAATAAAACTGTGTCTCTGTGTGTCAGAGGGAGGGAGGGAGAGGCAGGAGAGGGAGGGAAGGAGGGAGATGCAGCAGCACGGCGGTGTGGCAAAGTCAGGCGGCATCTGAGAGCTACGAGCCCAGGGACACCGGGGAGACGTGAGCCCCTCGCTCCGGGCTCAGCCCGATCCCATTGGCTCCCGAGCCGCTGGATTTAAAGGGAAGAAGAGCTCGGAGGGCTGAGCTGCACAGGCAGGCGCAGACTCTCCGCCAAGTTGCGAGCAGCACAGGCTCGCACACACCGGGCTGCGGGGTGCCCGCAGATTGATGCTCCTCTGGCTCCAGAAAGGCTGAAAGAAGAGGGGACCAGAAAAAAAAAACAACAAAACCAAACCAGCCAGAAAGGGGTGAAGGAGCCTGATCCTGTCCAGCAGTCCCAGAGGGAATAATGGATGTGACCATCTCTCAGTTCATCTTAGAAGAATTTGATGTGAACTGCAGCCTCCTGGATCGTTTACACGAGACTTTTTTAGAGAGTTCCTCTGTCCCTTTCCTGGGCTTTGATGGTAGGAATTGTTACCTGGTGCAGAGCTCGGGAGAAGCTTTAGAAGTGCTGAGATTCGGTTTGTTTTATGATGCAAAGTGTGTGGCTTTTGTGCTTTCTCAAGTGCTTCTTTCTCCCTTTCTGTCTCGTTCTTTAACCCCAGGTCCGTACTGCAATGCCACCACGGACCAGATCGGGACCTGCTGGCCCAGAACCTCTGCGGGGGAACTCGTGGAGAGACCCTGCCCCGAGTTCTTCAATGGGATCAAATACAACACCACGAGTAAGTACAAACTCCTTCCTTCTCCCGCAGATCGCGTGTTCAGAAGGCGCTTAGGGACACTCAAAATATATTTCCATTAAAGAAAAAAAAATAAATAAATAAAAGAAAAAAAAATGTTTGCTTGGGAATCAACATTTCCTCCACATTCCAGCCTGTATATTCAAAATTCTTGCCTGGAATGATGCAGATTTCTCAAAAGCGCAGACTTGTGGACACTGTTTCCTCTTTGCTGAAGTACATTTAGGGAGATCCGGGCAGAAAATATCCTCTGCAGTCTGAGGAGGGTTTGTTGTGCTTGTGTGTGTTTGTGCATGTGTGGCTACATACAGCTCAGTGTGTTGGTAGCAGTGCTTCAGCCACCTGGGTAATTAGACAACCTTTGGCTCATGAAATATTTAGTCCTAACACCTCAGAGCTGTGTTTTGAAAGGACAGTCCCTTTGCCAGGCTGGCAGGGTGAGCAAACCGTGCTGGGAGTTGGATCTGACAAACAGAAAGAAGGCTGAGGGCTGGAATCTGTTTCAGCAACTTCATCAGGGACTGGCTGCTGAGGCTGGAGCTGCATCAGCTCTGCACGGGAGACAGGAGAGGAAATTAGGAGGCAAATAATATTCAAGGCAAGGGAGTCTGGGGGCTCCTTAGAAATCTCCTGGATGCTTTATTCTTCGAGGTAAACAATCATGATGACTCACTACAAATTTATTATTCAGGCTGTGGGACCCAGGTGCTCATTTCCTTTTGCTTATCTGTCAATACCCTTTGGATCTTTCATTAAGAATTTTTAAACATTACTTCCAAATATGTGCACCCACTTGTTTGTCACTCATTTTTTCAGTGTGGTTTTGACTGTAGGGATAAAATCATTCTGTGTTTCACTCTGAGCTGTTGCTTGGGTGTTGGTGGTCTCATTTGCAGGTAATGTTAATTTTGTGGGGCCAGCACTCTCCTTAAGTCCCGTGAAAGAGTGACTGATGTTTTAGATCTTATTTTTAAACTTGCAGAAAGTGAATTTATTATTTCTCCAGCTATAGGTGTCATGGTCAGATAACTGCCCAAAAGTTTGGTGCGTTGGCTCTGTGAAACAAAGTCTCCTGTCAGATTTGTTGTTAGGGACGAGCTTCTGTCACCCCAGACTTTGAGAAGAGTAAAAGGTTGCCTAAGAGAGCTGCAAAATCATCCTGAAGCCCTCTGGGTCTTTGCAATAAAATAGGAGGGAACCTGGAACAGGCTCAGTGATGCTGCTTTTGATTACAGCAGGTGGTTCACTACTTGGACAAGTCTCAGTTGAGACCAGAAGAAAATTGCTGAGAATTAAGGGCAGTGCAGAGCATAGTGGAAAGAATTTAAATGTTTTTTCTGTGTATGGAAGAAAAAAAGAAATGAATACCCCAGTTTGGTTTTTATGAACTCTGTTGATGCTTTCACTAGTTCATCAATGACGTGATTTAAAGTTCTTCCCTGCTCCTCTTCTTCTCAGTGGTGGCTGTTGCTTGTATTGCAGTGCTGATAAGTTGTCTTAAATTCTCTGCACTTAAAACAATGGCATGTTGATTAAATTAAAGACTGATGGAAATATGTTACTGAAATGCTGCAGCATTATTTTCTGAGGAAATTGATATTTTTCTCCTTTCATCATAAAATGTGAGTAGCTATCTCCAGTTGATCTTAGACACTTCCATGTGTGTGGTTCCTCCAAGCTGTAGTGCAGAAAACAGAGGGAAGGATTATATCAAAATTTGGTCAACTTCTGGAATCAGTGTCTCCTTGGGATGTAATAGTTAAGCAATTAAAGCTTGGGAAAGCAGTAGGACAGCAGGTTAAGGTTTGAATACAGAGGTGCAATCTCTTTTGGCATTTGAAAAATATACTTATTTCATGCAGAACACATCCAGAATTTGGGAAAACCAAATACTGACACATTCTGACCACTTGCATGATTTCACCAGGTTGGTTTGTGATGAGGCTCATTTGTGATGAGGCTCATTGTGCTGAAAACCTCAGCTGTGTTCCCCATGCAGATGATAAAATGAGCACAGACAACTGATTAAAAGAATGAGAAATGGATCTTGCAAATCTCAGAGGTGAATAATAATACAGCTCAAAATGAAGGTCTGATAGGAGATGACTCGAATCAACACAAGATTTCTGCCTAGGACATGTAGTTTTGTTATATTTTGTTTTGCATTTTGATGAGGCAGACGGTTTGTTATATTATACTGATTTTTTTCTTTTTGAGAGTGAAATCAGACCAATTTAGAAAAACCACGCTGCACTGCCTTTCTTCTACTAAGAACTTATCCAGCTCTGGGTTGAAACTCAGCATTTATTACACTGATTTATTATACTGATTATTATACTGATATAGCATTTATTGTACTGATGGCTGATATATATATATATATCAGCTATCCCATGTTCATGAACTGCTGCCTTTCAGGAATTGCAGCTTTTCTTTGCAATGATTTTGTGTATCTGTGAGTATATTTTGTGTATCTGTGAGTATATTTCTCATTTGAAAGCCTGTAAAAATTCTGGATCAGTTTCAGTGATTTCTTTTTCAGTTTTAGAAATCAGGCTCTCAAAGATTTCAATTTCCCACCAATTTCCTAAAAGCTGCTCATCAGCTGGAGGGAATGAACCCAGTTGCATTCCCTGACAAGAAAGGCTTTTGAATTGTAGACACTGGCAAATCCAGACTGGGAAGTGCCCAAACTGTATGAAAAGCTTATGAAAAACTCAGAGAAGCACAAGACACTGATCCATGGCCAAGTTTTGGTACTCATGGGGTCATTTCTGCACCTCACTGTGGTCTCTATGCATGTAGGGGATGGAATTCAAGACAAAAACAGACAGGTAGGTTCCTCCACAGATCAGCTCATCAAAGGCTTTGGATGCACCTCCCCTGCTTTGTGTCCATCCTGTCAGCTCTCAAGCTTTGATGTTCACTCTAACTCGGATGGGAAATGCTATCAAACCATGCCAATGCTAGCAAATTCAAATTTGAGGCAAAAAAACCCCAAACCTTTAAGAAAAAGTGCTTGTGCTTAAAAAGCTCCCCTCCTGTTTGCCACGCTAGAATAAACTGTGTAAAATATTTCCATCCTAACTGCAAGAAATTCCCGTGGTGATTCTGTGCCTGGGTCTGTGTTTCTCTGTGTCTCCTGGGAAATGCTGAGTGACTCAGATAAGTTTCAGCTGCACTCATAAAACAAAGTCTGTCAGTCTGTGAGGACTTTTTATCCCTGACATTTTGTTATTTTGGTGATGTGTTGGGGGTTATTTTCTCCCTCTTTATTTGGGAAATAGAGTCATGTTGACAGATCACGCTCTGGTTACCCTGTAGTGTGATTTGTGAATATGGGCAAAATGCTCTTTGACCAAGGATCTGAAAATTACGCCATCCACTTACAACGTTGCAATTTTTATGTGTTATTCTCGAAGGGAGGAAAAAAAAATTAAATGAAACAGGAAAAAAAAAGTCTGTGTTGGTGCAGTGTGTGACTGTGCACTTGTCTCTGCTCAGGTTCTATATTTAGTGAAAAATGACAATATCATTGCTGCCCTCTAGATGTGTTTATGCTTTGACAGTGTGAAGCTTTTAGTCTTGTTTTAGGAAACAGATTAATTCACTTATTAGGATATCCTGAAGCTTGATTAATTCAGCAAATGGACTGTAATGAGTCTGGTTTTGCTGCTTGCTAAAAAGCAGCCGTTCAAGCATGAACTTAGAGCGCGTTGCAGGCTAAAGTATGCCTACATTAACACTTCCCTTACAGATTTCCCTGTGCAAGGGGAAAATCCAGGGTTAAATGTTCATCTGATGGACAGAAAGTGTTGACTTTTGTAGCCTCAGCTGATTTGTCTCAAACACCTGCTGTGGCAGGGGGTGTCCTGTGGTGACACTCGTCCATCACGGGCTGCTCACTTTGCCCTGGGCTGCAGGCAGGAGCTGGAGGCATTTAGGAGGTCTTTCAGATTGAAACCCACAAATCTATGTACTTCCAAGTAATATAAACAGCTAATTTAAGTATTTAAGCTCTAATATCCGTCAGTGGAGCTCTAATTGACAGAAGGAGTGAAGCCTGGGGGGTTACTAAGCTCAGCCTAAATGAAGAGCTCAGTTTAGCAGCCCCTGCAGAAGTGAGAGTGCTGTTTGATATGCCCAGGGGTATTTTGTTCCTGTTTCAGAGGGGCCAGCCTTGTTGTAGGTTTGTGTTTTATCTCCCAGGCCACACAGGTGTTGCAGATGCTCAGTGACAAATGATCCAATGCCCATGTTCAGGCAGCTGAATTCATCCCTGGGCGTGTGTTGTGCTGAACTGATCCCACACCCGGGGATTGAGATCAAACTGCTTTTGTGATCAACAGGAACAAAAGGTCTCTGTAGCTGCAGCTCCCTGCCTGCAAATCCACCTCTCTGTCTCTCAGTGTAGCTCTCTGACTGAAATAGCCACTTCACAGGAGTGTTTTGGACATCACAAAAAGCATCCTCCTCATCTTCTCCAGAGACTGTGCAGCTGAAAACAGGCACATAATCACTGCTAACTTTGCCCTGATGGGAACTTGGTTCCTCCTTGTTCTGAGGGGGTGTGCACCACCTTTTCCTTGGTCCTTCAAGCTGCTGCTTGGTGAGAAAGCTTTGGAGAGGGTTGGTGGCTTAGCAACAGGGCTGATGTTCATGTGGATGGGCATGGGGGATGGAGCCCCTGGCACATGGATCTCACCTGGACCTGTTAGCAGGGCTTGCTTCACACTGGGAGAAAAAAAGCCTGGTTCTTAAACACAGAGAAATGATCTTTTGTGTGCTCAGGGGAGGGTGAAGAAGTGAATTAATAGCTCTTCTGGTTTGCATTTCCCCTCTTTTGAAAGGGTTTAAAGGGATGATTCAATTTTTAAAAGAGCTAATTTTCATAGGTTAAAACCCCATTCTTTTATGGAGATCTAATCTTTGCTGCTTTTCCTTCTGATTAATTATTGTTCAAAGTTCTGGAGATGTGGCTC